CATAAGAACCCGACCTTTTAATGTTATAAGCCTTCAGATAATCGCTGAGCCACCAGAGGGTATTGTTTGTTTGTAATTAAGCACAAAGCTACACAATGGGCTATCTGTGCTCTGGACACCACAGGTATCGAAACCCGGATTCTAGCGTTGTAAGTCCTCAGACATACCGCTGTGCCACTGGGAGGCCGAGGGTATTGTCAACTGCACTGAAACTTTCCATTTAGATTCAAACATGGATTAAAGCCTTGAAAGGTGTTGGGTATAACATTTTTATCACGAAACTAAATATATAAACATCTGAAGATGTGCACAGTAAAAATGTTGGTATATGTGTGTGTGTTTATAATTACAATCGTTTGTATTTCTTCTGAACTTCTTTAATTTGATTTTATCTGTTTGTTTATCTTATATCACTCAAGATAAATATCAGCAGCCAACGTGATAACAAAAGTTATAAGTTCTATAAAGCTCAGTTATGATTAGATATATTTTAAATCAAAACGTAAAGTAAACACTGTGTGTTAAAACTGAATGGCCGAAAATAAGTAACTTGAAAAGGACAATTTGAAGAAATGTTACAAATCTGATCCTGGTTAGGCGTGGCCAATTTGTGAATCCGATTATTCGTGCTTCCTTTCCTGCTATTGCAACAAAACGTGCTTAGCACTTTCGAGTCGTGTGTGTGTTATAAGTGTGACGGCCAAACCCACTATTCTACCAGAGACAACAGTAGCTAAAGAGTTGGTGATAGATAGTGTTGACTATCTGCCTTCCCTCTGGCCTTAGTTCAAACTTAGGGGCGACTGTACTCTGATACTCCTTTTGAAGCTTTGCTCAAAAATTCTAAAGCCAACAACAACAAAACTATTCGGAGAGAAAGGCACGACTGGACGATCTTAGCTGGCTGAGCGACTGCGCGATCCAAGTGGCACGTCAAGAAAATCAGCTGTGAAGATGGGCTGTCATCCACAAGCTTTATTTTTTCTTGACAAGCAAGTGCTTAATTGACTCTTCTCGATGTTCCCATATTCCATTCTGTCTCGTTATTTCAGTAGACTTCTCATGATAAATTATTCCCTTTCCAGACCTTGTCTTGGCTGTTACGAACGCCCTCAGTTCTTCTGACGTTCATTGGAGTGATACATGAGAGCAGACACGTGGAAGTCAGGCTTTCGTAAGATATCCAAATTATTTACGGTATGTGGGTGTAAAAACGGCGCTTATAATAAGAACATCGATAACAACAACGCTATAGCGTAGACAGACTATATACCTTTCACTCATAAAGTTTCACCAATAATATAACATAAGACACTGCGCTTAGTGCTCCGTAAAAGAAAAATGCAACAATACATAACTCAATAATTCTGACAGATGAAGCTCACGGGCTTGTCTGGCAACAGACAGAAACGTAACATAGCTTTGTTGATATTCTAGTTGCTGCTTTCAAAAGACGAATAAAACCGGTTTGTCAATATTCATTGTGGTGTTTACAAAGGAGAGCTAACACGAATTTCTGTAATTTAAGTAGTTTGCTCTGATCGGAAAGTAGTATCAATTTAAGCAGTTTGTTCTGCTCGGAAGTTAGTATTAATTTAAGTAGTTTGCTCTGGCTCTGATCGGAAAGTAGTATCAATTTAAGTAGTTTGTTCTGCTCGGAAGTTAGTATTAATTTAAGTAGTTTGCTCTGATCGGAAGTTAGTATTAATTTCAATAGTTTACTCTGATCGGAAAGTAGTATCAATTTAAGTAGTTTGCTATTAGTATTAATTTAAGTAGTTTACTCTGATCGGAAGTTAGTATTAATTTAAGTATTTTCCTCTGATCAGAAGTTAGTATTAATTTTAGTAGTTTGCTCTAATCAGACGTTAGTATTTATTCAACAAACTGTTCCAATACATAGATAACAAGGTTCATTTAATATTAGACAAAATGCTTCCAATAGAAAGACAACAAGAATGTCAAGTACAAATGCGTCATTACAAATCGTATCTTATTAACTAGATATAAGTATGAGATGAATAATGGTGTCAAACCTAAAATGTTTCATTATAAGTAGTGTTTTATCAACTGGATCTAATCTATATGTAGGTAATAATGTAAAAAAAAACAACAAGTTAATCATTATAAATCATGTCTCATCAATTGGAACTAACTAGATATGGGTAATATCGCCAACAACAACAAGTTAACCATTTATAGACCGTATCTCATCAACTGGATGTAACTCTGGTTCGGGTAATAATGTCAACAACAACAACAAATGAGCCAGTTATAGACCGTATTTCATCAACTGGATTTAACTCTGGTTCGGTTAATAGTGTCAACAACAACAAATGAACCATTTATAGACCGTATCTCATCAACTGGATGTAACTCTGGTTCGGGTAATAATGTCAACAACAACAAATGAACCAGTTATAGACCGTATTTCATCAACTGGATGTAACTCTGGTTCGGATAATAGTGTCAACAACAACAAATGAACCAGTTATAGACCGTATCTCATCAAATGGATGTAACTCTGGTTCGGTAATAATGTCAACAACAACAACAAATGAGCCATTTACAACCAGTATCTCATCAACTGGATGTAACTCTGATTCAGATGATAATGTCTGATGTCGTAAATTATTTAATAAGTATCATGTGGATTGTCATCAGGCTACGGCACTTCATGATATGGGTGTAACTCCGTTGTTTGTAATTATATCATAAATGTCGTGTGGGTTATTATCAGGTTACAACACTTTGTGAATTAAATGAAACTCTAATGTGAGTAATCATATCACAAGTATCGTTTGGGTTATTATCAGGTTACAACACTTTGTGAATTAAATGAAACTCTAATGTGAGTAATCATATCACAAGTATCATTTGGGTTATTATCAGGTTACAACACTTGGTGAATTAAATGAAACTCTAATGTGAGTAATCATATCACAAATATCATTTGGGTTGTTATCAGGTTACAACACTTTGTGAATTAAATGAAACTCTAATGTGGGTAATTATATCGCAAATATTATGTAGGTTATAATCAGATTACAGCGCATCATGAATGAAATCTAATTCTGATGTGGTTAATTATATCATAGATATCATGTGGGCTATCATCAAGGTTACAACACTTCGTGATTTGGATTTAACTGTCAGTAATTATATCAGAATTAGCGTGTGGGTTATCATCAGGTTACTCACACATATATTGGGTGTAACTTATAAATATTAAATGTATTACTGATTTAAAATTTCTTCTTGGTTTTCTAGATTAATATTATACATATATATTGCATGGTATCGGTTTTCTGTGAACAATGGATGCCAGCATGATTATTTATTTGTTGCTTTTAGGTATCCAAAGGCAACGTAAAAAGTATTGAAATTAGAGAGACTATTCCATTTTTTATCCTGTTACTATTTTGTTTAATTTATTGTTGTTACTAAATTAGTTAATTAACCTTTATTTCAGACTTTGTTAAGTACTCTTTTATGATTGGATTTTATTTTATCACAGTAATCAAAATACTGAGAGAAGATAACCAAGTCAAGGACTATGACCCATTTTTTATGACTTTCTGTAACTGATTTTGATAGACTGAATTCTATTTAAATCTCATTTAGTAAAAATATTATTGCGGTATTATGGGGAGGTTACTTCGTTTGACTCTTGATCACTGGTAAGTTTGTGATTTATTGAAACGTCTTGCTTTAGATTTCTAAAAGGAATGCTCTATACATGAAAGTCATTCAAACTTAACAGACAGCGCAATTTGAGGGTCGCGGGTTCGAATCCCCGTCCCACTAAACATGCTCGCCCTTTCAGCCGTGGTGGCGTTATAATATGACGGTCAGTCCCACTATTCGTTGGTAAAATAGTAGCCCAAGAGTTGGCGGTGGGTGGTGATGACTAGCTGCCTTCCCTCTAGTCTTACACTGCTAAATTAGAGACGGCTAGCGCAGATAGCCCTCGTGTAGCTTTGCACAAAATTCAAAACAAACAAACTAAATGACAACTCGTAGCCGCTCTATTGGTATTACGTCATTGAAACTTAATCTGTGTAACTTGTTAATTTTTATCCATGACCAACAAACCCCCCGCTTAGAATAACTTATTCCTCTTCTGATTGTAAAACAACTGTTATTTCCTGATCATACTCTGAGTAACGACAATGCCACCTATCTTCTAAATATTTTTGGATTTGATTTCTTTTTTCTTTTTTTATATATTTTCATGGTTAAACTTGGTTTAGATTAAGTTCATTACTACCAGCCCCCCAGTGGCACAGCGGCATGTCTGCGGAATCATAACGCTAGAATCTCGGTTTCGATACCCGTGGTGGGCAGAGCACAGATAGCCCATTGTGTAGCTTTGTGCTTAATTACAAACAAACAATCATTACTACCAAAACTAAAGTTTTTTTTTGTTCACCAAATTCAACGTTTTATTGTTGTTTGACAAAACGTTATGTAAGGACGCACATTATGCTAATATAATAATAGGTAGGCAAACAATGATTTATAAACATAAGGAAGAGTTTCATTGATGGAAGAACATACTACATGTTTCGACAGAGCATTGGTCTGCCTTCCTCAGGTAAAATAAAACTTTTCGATATGCTTATAATTCGTTGTTTGCCTACCTATTATTCTAGTGATTGTATCAATCTTCACTAGCTGTAGCGTTCTAATCTTTATATTTTTACTCTCAGTGATTCCACTACAAATTACCCTCCCCCCAGTGTCTCAGCAGCAGGTCTGAGGGTTCAAACCGCTATAAACCGGGTTTCGTTACTTATGATGGGCATAGATAGCTCATTGGGTAGCTTTGCGCTTCACAACAAACAAACGATACAAATCGCTCTGTCTGGCTTTCTTTACAGATCTGCTGTCTTCTGATACCTTGTGAAGTTTTAAGCAATTTTAACACAGAAAAGATAGACGCAGTCAAACTTTCTACCAGTATACATGAAGCTAAAGTATGCAGAAAATTTACTCACCCGTCAGGACCTGAACCAGACCCAAGGCACGTGCTACTCGCTTAGTCACTACGTCTGCCACGCAGCACGCTGCCAAAGCTGTGAAGGCCACGAGAAGTGAAGTGGCAGCCCCGACTCCAACGGAAATCGTGGTAATTTGCCATGAAACACTAGGAATATCGTGGAAGGTGGTGTAGCGGCCGCACTCGTGGATTATCTGAACTCCTCCGTCCTCATTCATTCGTGGATAGCTGCAACGCCTGAAGGAGCCAAAAGATACCTCGGTGGAGTTGAACAAGGCACCCTGGAACCAGAAGGGCAAATAGAAACCAGCACAGTTCAGAATGGCAGCCGCTAGAGAAAGAGAAGCCCAGAAAACACCTGTGGCTGTGAGGCTACTTGCAAGTACGGGCATCTTATAAGACTCGGGACAATAATAGTAATTCTTTTCTTCTCAACGAAGTGCTCTTCGTTTCTAGCAGGAATATCAGCTATAAAACAAGTTGCTGAACGGAAAAACTACAAACTTCTAAAGTGGAATGAATCAAGAAACTTTGTTATCTTCCAGAATAGAAATAAAACAAAAACAACTCATTTCATCTTCAACAATATGAACTCTTTGGGGTACAGAAATCAGGCAAATAAGTGAGTAACTATATAAACAGGTGATAAAACGTCTGTCTAGAATATGTTATGGTATCGACGCTAACTAACTTCGTCGGTACAGGCGATACAGCGTGACTTGCTGCGAGGAGCGAAGAAAGGCGTCTGTTAGCTAGCGGTGACAACCAGAGTTTACACCGCGTTAGTCTACTAGCTTGCCTGCCGTAGTTCGTTAGGGCAAGTCGCTGCGTTTTGACCGTATCCGTTGGTCCTTACAATAGCCTCTAGAGGGCGACGACAAACGCTGCTCGAAATCAGTAACTGCTGTAGGAGCACAGTAGAAGTAATTGAAACACATATGACGAATACGAAAACTAACTTCGTCTTAATCACGAAAAATTGCCAAGTGCGCTACTATGTTATAGTCAAACCTCACTGTTGAAGTTTTTTTTTTTTTAGAAGCGTCAATTTGGCTCAAAAAGTTTTATGAATTAAAAAACAACGTTGCTGAATGGTTTTCGAATCAAACTTTTTAAACCGTTAGTTATTTTCTATAATCAATCAACTCAAGTATTACATTGATAAAACAGTTCACAGTTTAGTATCACAAAAAATATTCTGGTTGACGTAATATTCAACAACTGTGTGTCAAAATTTATTTTAAAGAAAACAACGGATGGTTTTAACACAAAATTTTGTCTCTGTTTTAATCAAGTATGTTTTGACACAATTCTCTCATTAGTTTCTCATAATGTAACTTCTGTTTGTCTTCTCATCAGATATGTTTTGTTTTAACATACAATTCTCTCTATATCTTCTCATCATTTAAATTTTAACGGTATCTCTCTTTGTCATCTAATCAAGTGTGTTTTAACACAATTCTCTTTATGTTCTCATGAATTAAATTTTAACGGTATCTCTCTTTGTCATCTAATCAAGTGTGTTTTAACACAATTCTCTCTATGTTCTCATGAATTAAATCTTAACGGTATCTCTCGTTGTCATCTAATCAAGTGTGTTTTAACACACAACTCTCTCTGTGTTCTCATCAATTATACTTTAACGGTAGCTCTCTTTTTCTTCTCATCAGATATGTTTTAACACACAATTCTCTCTCTATGTTCTCATGAATTAAATTTTAACGGTATCTCTCTCTTTGTCATCTAATCAAGTGTGTTTTAACACACAATTCTCTCTATGTTCTCATCAATTAAATTTTAACGGTATCTCTCTCTTTGTCATCTAATCAAGTATGTTTTAACACAGGTACTTTCTATCTTTTCATACTGTAACTTTAAATAGTTCTGCTTATCTTCTAATCAAGTATGTTTTAACATACAGCTAGTTCTCTCTATCTTCTCCTCCATTATATTTTAATAGTTCTGCTTATCTTCTAATCAAGTATATTTTAACACAGGTACTTTCTATCTTTTCATACTGTAACTTTTAATAGTTCTGCTTATCTTCTAATCAAGTATGTTTTAATACACAGCTAGTTCTCTCTATCTTCTCCTCCATTATATTTTAATAGTAGCTCTGTCTGTCTTTTGATCTGGTGAGATTGAACGCACAGCCCCATCTTGTAATCAGGTAACCTTCAGCTAACGGTTTTGTTTTCTATTGAATTGACTTTTTAATTTATTGTTATGTCTTCTAATCTTATGAGTTTTAACGCATTATTCCGTCTTCTTATAAGTTGAGGTTTAACAAATTATTCTTGCTATATTCTAATCAGATGAGTTGTAACATACTCTTCTCTCTGCCAATCAGGTAAGCTTTAAACGTTGGCTGTCTTCTAACCACACGAGTTTAATGTATAGTGCTCTGTGTCTATTAGGTTCTAACGTGTATTTCTAGCTATCTGTCTTCCTATCAAACATCTTTTAACGTATAGTTTTATATGTTTCTCGCCAAATGAATTTTAATCTGTATATCTGTTTCTAATCAATCATCTAAATTTTAACTCATAATCCTATCTGTTTTAATTCAAATAAGTTTTAACTCATAATCCTATCTGTTTTAATTCAAATAAGTTTTAACTCATAATTCTACCTGTTTTTATTCAAGTAAGTTTTAATTTACAATCCTATCTGTTTTTATTCAAGTAAGTTTTAATTTACAATCTTATCTGTTTTTATTTGGGTAAGTTTATTTTCTACTCAAGTAAATTCTAATTTATATACCCGTTTCTAATCAATCGATTAAGTTTCAACTCAATCCTATCATTTTTCATTCAGCTTAGTTTTAACTTACAATCCTATCTAGTTTTATTCAGGTAAGATATAATTCATAATCTCATCTGTTTCTAATCAAGTAAGTTTTAGCTCATAGTCCTATCTATTTTTAACCGATTAAGTTTCAACTCATAGTCCTATTTGTTTTTATTCATGTAAATTTTAACGCATAGTTCTACCTGCTTTATAATCAGAAAAGTTTTAACGAATAATAGGTAATATTAAACTATCCAATGTTTTTATCAAACCTTCATCTTAGAAATAATAGAAAGATTAGGCAACAGCATTCGGATTATAATCTTAAACCTAAATCATTTTAATTACATAAATGTCCTTTTAATATAAACTGAATGAAACTTGTTCATTAAGTAAATGTGCCTTAATTTATACTTATTTGAATATTTAACTCAAAACTGCAAGAGCTAAAAGTGACACCACAGTTGTACAGTTCTAAACTGTAAATTGAATGTGTTTAAGCTATGGATTTAAGAAATATTAACCATTTTTATTAAATACATGAAACTTTGTCGATTTTGGGGAATTATCAAACAAGAACTGATTTGTTGTTTGTCCTGTTAAGTTAAAATTATTTGAACTTTTCATATGGAAACTGCTCTGTATATTTTAGAAATATAAATCCTTTAGACACTCCACTACGGCGTAAAGTATAACAAGTAATATAAATGTTAAGTATTCAACAGTGTATTCTTATAAGAATTAAACATTTCGAACATCTTTCTCTGAATAAATTTGCATCAAATACTTTTTTCAAATCCCCAATATTTTAAAATAATTATTGTAAGCATATTAAAATCTATTATGGGTAAACGTTTCTCCTGCCATCTATCGTACGATATCAAACCTAATGTTATGTATATATATATATTGCAGGTGCTACACTTCGTGCAATTACGTAAGACAATTAGTTCTCCTTATCTTCCAATTATAAAACTTATATTAATCTCATTACAGTAGTTCAAAGTACCTGGTTTATTATTTTCAATAAAAGTATATTTGTTTTATTTTTTCAGTCCTACTTTAAATATATATGCTCAATCAATTTCAAATTTCATAATGTCCACTCACCATCTGGAATATTAAGAATAGTCAAGAGAGAAATTTTTATTATTAAGAAGTTAACAAACCGGTTTTCAATGTCTATTGATCAACTTGATGCCATTCTTTCGCATTAAATACGTATATATATATATATCGTTTGTCACCTGACAGGTTCTCCCTTGTTTTGATTTGCGTCACGTGGATTTATTGCTCATGACAAGCGATATTGTATTTTATAAAGTAATTATGTACATACACCCCTAACTGCAGCTTTATGTAACTAAATCAAGAATTTACAGTGTATCTCACTGGAAGTTAAGGCGTTTTTTACAGGTTTTTTTTTCATGTACAACTCAACTTTGTAACTTTTCCACTGCTACATTTATAGATAGATAATTATCACTGTCAGGTTTATTTTTAGATATACAATAAGAACAAAAATACAAATGCTTTAAAATACTTACATGAAACTGGCGAACTTTGGAAAGTTTGAAAAATAATGCGTTTTTTTATGATAGTACAGAATTCTAAATTTTCAGAGCAGTGCTCTAATAAGGTTCACATATGTGCTCGTAGCAGTGAAAACACTAAGAAATAAATTTCTATCTTATCAAATTGTCGTTTTAAGATTTCAAGTGTTCAGTAAACATCAATACCTTATTTGTACGTGTACGTAAGAACTAACTTCTGTAAATCTGTAACAAACAATTCTAGTAAGTAACGCCTTTTAAATATTTTTTTCTAATGGATTACAGTAACACCATTACTAGTACAGAAGAAAACGAAAAATTTTGCTGTTAGTCACTATCATGGATGACATCTATAATTTCGTCTGGTTTTTGAAGTCTTTTATCGTTGAAAAGAAATGTGATCTTTGATGTTGGAGCATTTTAGAAAATAAATGTGTCTTGTGACTAACAGTTGCGATCAGATGATTGGTTATAGCCGAGTCAACATGAGCTATAACTTAAAAAAGAAGAAAGAAGGGGGAAAATGCTGTCCATGTGTTTTGGTGTTTGATTTCAGATAAAAGACTCGGAAATAAAACAGAAAATATAACTTGAAATAAAGCTTACAACGGGCCTTGAGATTTCAAGTCTTTGTTTCATTTATTAATTTTCGTTCAGGAACCTAAAATTTATAGCCAGTCTGATGTATCTGTCCGTCTGTACATCCACCTTTGTAACCACTGAACACATTTATGAATATTGATAGTATTTTGTCAAATAAAAGTTTAAGATAACCGTATATAAGTATACATTTTTTAAAACTCTCTTGCTATAATTTTACATGAATGGCTAAAATAACACAAGTTTTAAGACAAATAAAAGTTATAATGTCAATAGTTAAGGATCTATGCAATAGGCTTATATTTTTGTAATGAAATTTTTAATTTTGTTGGATCACTTTGTAGGTATATTTTATTGTATACCTGACGTATATTTAAATATAATTGGTAAAAGAGTAGCTCAAGAGTTGGCAGTTGGTGGTGATGACTAGCTTCCTTCTAGTCTTACACTGCTAAATTAGGGACGGCTAGCGCAGATAGCTCTCGTGTAGCTTTGCGCGAAATTCAAAAACAAACAAACAAATCTCTGACATAAAAAATCCACCTTTTCTTCAATTCACTTCTAATTTGCTTCTCCTTTAGCCATAATCGATATATTTATTTTATTATTGGTTAATCACTTCAAATGTCTACTGGCACACTTTTCTTTTCCATGGCTTGGTGGTTAAGGTGTTCCACTCGCAGTCTTCGGGTCGCGAGTTCGAATCACATCACTGAACATGCTCATTCTTTCAGCCGTGAGGGCGTTATAATATGATGGTCAATCCTATTATTCGATTATAGTATCCCAAGAGTCGGAGATAGGTGATGTTGACTAGCTGCCTACTAAATTAGGGACGGCTAGTGCAGATAGCCCTCGTGAAATACAACAAACAAACTAACATTAGTCGTCGTGTTTGT